CATATTAGTCCATTTTACAGATGAGGAAATTGAGGCACAGAGGTTAAGGAACTTGCCCAGGGTCAGAGTAGTGCTGGGCTGGGATCTGAACCCAGGTAATCTGTGAGTGAGAACTGGTGCTCATAACCACTATTCTACATACTGCTTGCTTTGGAGTGAGAGGGAACTGGGGCATAATGTAGAAGGAACAAAAAGAAAAGAAATCATAGCAGAGGCTGCTTGAAAGAAATCTGTAGTTGATTAATTACTCAGTGTAAGGGCCAAGCACCACCAAAGATAGGATGTATAATTATTGACAGCAAAAGACCTTAAGGCCACATAAAATATATACTGTTAAATAAGATTCTGTGGTAAGAATCACTTAGCAATACGGGAACATACTTTGCAAATGTATATGTATTCAGGCATGTAAATATACTTTCTTAGTCAAATAAGTAGTTTAAAACAAATCCTTCCTGTTTTGAAAACCAGTGAGGTAGCAAAACAATTCCCCTGGTTTCAATTTTCAAACACGTGTCCTTTATGTAAACTTCGTGAGAGCCAAACTCATTCACTGGTTTCCCCAGCATCAGAGCACCTGGTAGTGCATCTGGAAAGTTTCCCCTCAGAGAACGCCATGGAGTCCCCCTCCAGGGCTTACTCTGTCTCCGTCCTTTCTCACACTAGCCTCAGGGCTCTCTCTGAACCTCTGGGCTGGATTCAAATGGGCAATTTACTGGATATCTGTTTGGGCAACATTCCACGATCCCAAACAGAAGTTCCTGCAGAAGTAATGGGTGGATGCCATCTGGTTCGAGGGATTTATTTACATTTAGTTGTTATTTAGGCCTGAAACATCCCTTGGGCTTAGCACTGTTTCATTTAATAACTCTGACCAGTGTCCTCCAAAAGACATTTTCAGAGTGGGAATCTCTCCAAGGCTTTCCATAAGATGAAAGCAAAGGATCTGAGGCCAGCTGCTACTTTGGTTTACAGTCATCAGCTGGGCCAAGGTGACTTCCTTGCCAGTTCCCGTTTTACAGAGTTGAGGAATTTTGATGCTTGGTCCTTGGAGTCCCCTTGAGATCAGTCCTGAGACACCTGCCCTGCCATCTCTGCGGGGGATCCTGCTCTCTGGGCTCTCGCAGATACTGTCCTGAGATGGCTTTTTAGACTGCAGGGTGACCAGTGGATGCAGTGTTACAGCCAAATCCTTTCCAGGCTACCTGGAGTTTACTCTATTCTGTACAAATCCTAAAAAATATATAGATTAGGGATTTATTACAAAATACAAAGTGTTAGTTTTTCATCGTCACTGATTCAAGAAAACAGGGTGATGAGTCCTGGGTGCTGGGGACTAAAAGCCAGCTCTGGAGCTGACCAATAGGCACTAACTTACGACCTCCAACAAGCGGCCATTCTCGAGGGCAGCTCCACCCGCCCCTTCTCCACTGCATGCTCAGAGGAATGGGTCCCAGGGTAATGTGCATCTTGAAAGACCGGGGAAGAGATCCAAAAGTCTGACCTTGATGGGCCGTGATGACCTTGATGACCCTGCAGGGCGGGCCAATAATGGTGGCCATGCTGCAGTGAGGATGGTGGCATGAAGGCTTCGGCCACTGTGATCTTGGCTTGCTCGCTTGAACGTGGACTTGCTCTACTACGTTCAGTCCTCCCAGTGTCAGTGGGGCCATCATCAATGGAGCGAGTCAAACAGAAGATCTCGCACATGTGCCAATGCTGCCGGGGATCTGCTTGTTCTCTTCCCCATGGTCAGAGCCACTCTCCCTGCACCCTCGGGCACCTCCTCTCCAGCCCTATTTGTTCACCCAGGATTAGCAGAGCCTGTTTACTCAAGTAAGTTAAAAAGCACTCAGACTTGGGTGCTAAACTCTGTCTCGCCTCACTGCTCCCAGACTCAGGAGAACACTGAGGGAGCAGTGATTATGACAGTAAGCTGTCTGCAGGGCTATATGCGCAGCACACCGTTCTACCCACGTCATGTGCATTACTTTGTATAATCCTCATAATAGCCCTAGGAGACAGGAACTCTTATCTTTTACAGGTAAGAAAACTGAGGTACCGAACGCCAATTTACTTCTTAAGGTTGCATACCTAGAAAAGCGGCAGAGCTAGGATTTGACCCAAGTAGACCAGCTCCAGAGAAGGTGGCTTAGTGCTGTTCTATTCCACATAGTCCCCACCTCCTGGAGGAGGGCGGCTGCTTCCCGACGCCCTGCACTGCCCTCCCTCCCCGCCGGGTCCCTCCCTGCTCTCTAAGAGTGACAAAGGGCTGGTCTGCTGAAACCGCCACCACTCTAACTTTTACCTCCGCAGTGACTTCATCTGGTTTTCTTTCGAGTCACTGCAGCTGTAGCCCTAAACCTTCCCTCCCAGGCTAGGCCCGCTGGCTCTCTGGGATGCCTGGATTCATCGACAGAGCTTCCTGGGTGGTGATTTCACTACAGGCAGCCTATTCTCTGCAGAGGTCCCGGGCCAGGGTCTCACTATTTGACACAATGCTCGTGTGCTCCGCGCCATGCTTGTCTCCTGAAGGACACCTCCTGTCTATCCTAGCACAGTCAGACCCACTTTTTTCTTTTATTATTCACAGAATTATAGAATTGTGGGGCTGGGAGGAACTGTGCAGATTACCCAGTTCCATCGCCTGTTCTATTTGGTCTAAAAGAAAGAGGTGAAACTCCTCTCCGAGTAGAACTGTGTGTTAACACAGCAGCAGACAAAAGCTCCATTGTTATTCTGAGGCTTGTTGCAGAAAGACCTCAAATCCATCAGATAATCGAATAGGCTACCCAGGAAAGAACATCTCTGCGTCTAACACAGTTTCAAAGTCACAGACTATTATTCTGTGCTCTGTCGATACTGTGAATCACTAACAGCCGTTCCAGGAATCCCCTCCACCCCCCGGGCTAATCTGGGAAGCGCTTTTATCACATGTGACAAGGCCCTCTGAGCCTGGCTCATGATAACTCAATTAGATCCCCTGCTCCCGATACCCTGCTCCACTTCAACCACATTATCAAAATTGAGAGCTCACCCAGCACATGGCCACTGCAGCCCCTGGTGCTCATTCATCCCGGACGTCACATATGCTGCCTGCTGGCAGGAGCTGTGGCTCTTTATCAGCTGCCTGCAGCCTTGGCACCACGGCTGGCATCTACTCACAGACGCTGCTCTTTCCTTTTTCTTCCAAAGTCCTTTTGGGCAAGTCAGGTCCTGTCTTTCCATCTACCTGCTGGGCAGGTTTCTGCTCTTTAGCGTCCTAATACCAATTAGAGTGGGCCTGCTCGGGGAGCACATGGCGATGCTCTGCTCTTGTGAACTCAACACCTTGGCTAGTAATTAGACCTTAGAGAAGCACTCAGCCCTCTCAGGCTTTCTTCCCTGCTTTTGGAAGAAATAGATGCCCATTTGGAAAAAAATCACCTTCTGTTCAGGGATGTACAAAGCAGAAAAATAAAAGCCCACTACTGTCCCCAGAGATAACCACCATGAGAACCTCCAGGCCTTTCTCTTTGCAGACCGCAGAGCCGGCAATCTCTCATCAGTTCCCAAGCCTCTCAATGTATCCTATGCCCAAGACTCTTGGAGCAGCTGCCAGCATCCCATCACCTCACATCTGCCCTGCACCCTCACCCAAGGCTTCCAGGTTGCTGCCCTCACTGGTCATCCGCTCTCCCTCCTTGCTCCGCCCACCTCTTCTCCCTGGCCTCTTGGTGTAGGAGAGTGTGCGAAAGACCTGGTCCTTGTCTCTCCTCTGTCCACACTCACTTCCTCCACACAACCACCATTCTGGCTTTCAGGTCTTCTAGCCGAAGGCTGCTAAACATACATGTCTAGTACAGACTCGTGGATTGATCTGTCTATCCTACATCTCCATCTGGATGTCTAACGGTAGTTCAAATTCAACATGCCCAAAGCTGGACTCCAGATCTTCCTCCGTACACCTGCTCCCTGTCGCCTTCTCATAAACTGTGCAGTCAAACTGACTCACCCTTTCTGTTATGCTAAAATCCCTGTTGGCTCTACTTGTGAAATATATCCAAGTTCTGGCCACTTGTCACACTTTCACTGCCACCATCCAGGTTCACACCACCCTCATGTCTCACCTGGAGGACCACCATGGCCTCCTGGGTGGTCTCCTGCCCCCACCCTCGCCCACGCCCACAGTCGCATAGAAGCCAGATTGATCCCTCGAGTGATCATGTCCCTTGTCTGCTCAAACACTCATACGGCTCCCCTTCTGCTCAGAGAAAAAGCCATAGACCTACAGTGTCTACAAAGTCCTCTGTGATCTGATCCCTGGTAAGTTCCCTGGCCTCACCTCTGTCGACTCTTCCCCTGGATCACTGTGCTCCAGCCCCTCCCCCAGTTCCTTCAACTGCAGGCATGCACTGCTTGAAGGCCTTTGCACTGGCTGTTCCCTCTGCCTGGATGCTCCTCCCCAGATGATCATATGGCTGGCTCCCTCTCCTTCCCAAGCCTTTGCTCAAATGTGACCCTATCCTGACAACTTCACTTGAAATGGCAACCTACCCCTTCCCTGCTACCTAATAAACCCTTTATCCTGCTCTACATTAGAGATTTTGTCTTTTCACCTTCTAACATTCTTTCTAATTTACTATGCTTGTGTTTGTTGTAAGTCTCTCCCAGCTAGTATGTAAGCTCCCTGAGAACAGAGATGTCTGTCTGTTTTACTTTCCAGTGTGTCCTAGCACACAGCAGGCAGTGAACAAATGCCTGGCGGGGCCTGAATGACGTCTCCTAGGCCTGCCCAGCAGGTCTGCAGCCGCCTTTCTGGCACTAAGACCCTTTCATACTGAAGGGCGCTAGGCCCCTGTGACTGCTGCCAACTGGGAGAGGCATCCTCTTCCGAGCATCCTTCCCCTAGCCCCTTCCCAGCTGGGCACCTGCTGGGGCACCTTCTGCCTGTCCAGCCCCACTGACGGGACGCTCCCACCTGACGCCCAGCCCAGCCCAGGCCGAGAGCCTCCACTCACCTGGAAGTCCTCCTCATCCAAGATCTCTTTCCTCCACTTGATCAAGAAAGCTGCACACACGTACAGGTGGAAGTGGGAGAACCCCTCTGGCTCAGACTGGGGAGGCAAAGAACAGAGTTAGGTCGCCAAGCCCTGACCAGGAGCGGCGCTAGTCCTCTGGGGCCCAGCCCGCCTGCAAGGTGGGAATGCAGCGCAGCACCCGTCTCGTGGCTAGGCAAACGGGGCCTGAAGAGACTGAGCAGAGGCCCTGCCTGTGAGGCTCAGGCAGACACGAAGCAGGAAGGAGTGGGGACTCCTGCGCAGCTACACTGCACCCCAGGCCAGAGAGGGCGCCCCGGGACAGTCTGGCGTGGAGGGAGGGCATCGCTTCATACCTGGTATGTGTCCCACAGGCGGATGGTGCAGCGAAGGGGAAGCTCCCGCATAAGCAGGTTGTTCATCCAACGAAAGGCAAACTGTAGGTATTCCACCTCGTACCGCCTGAAGTGATTATGTACCTGCTCTGAAACAGGAAGTGTCATCGGCCCGGGGCACAGCCTGGGGGGTCAGATCCTGAAAAAGTCCAGGAGCCTAGAAGGCAATTTCCATTTCTTTCCATCCCTCCCCCGGGAAGCCAGGCAGAGTGGACTGTGCTTGGTGTTTGGTTCCACCGTCTCACATACAGCAGCACTGACAGTAACTCAGCACCACTGGCACAGCCCACAGTGATAGTCCAGGCGCCTTCTTCCTGCCCAGGGCTGCTTGAGCCACAGGAGACACACGGTTCACTTGGCTGCTTGACCTTATCACTCAGCAGAAGAGGCAGAATGGAAAGGAGCGGGGTCACCTTGGCCCTTCCCGCCAGCGAGGATTTCCCCCTCAGCCTCCCTGACAGGTGGCAACAGCAGGGACTTGGCTGCTGGCGAGAGAGGCTTGCTGACCCCCCTGGAGTTAAGTGATTCACCAGGAAGTGCTTCGCACACTGCACAGAGGCCAACGCTCCCCCTCCCACCCCTGGCGTCTGTGTGGTGTTCTGGAACAACCCCACAACAATCCTGATCCCTGTTTTCCACGACAGCCCTTCAAATAATACTTAATCAAATTTTGTTATATCACTATCCTCCTCAGTTTCCTAACCTATAAAATGGGGATGCTCACCCACACCTCAGAAAGTTTGGGAGACTTTCTAAGATAAAATGAGAAAATAGCCCTGGCTGGTTTGTCTCAGTGGATAGAGCGTCAGCCTGCGGACTCAAGGGTCCCAGGTTCGATTCCGGTCAAGGGCATGTACCTTGGTTGCGGGCACATCCCCAGTGGGGAGTGTGCAGGAGGCGGCTGATCGATGTTTCTCTCTCATTGATGTTTCTAACTCTCTCTCCTTCTCCCTTCCTCTCTGTAAAAAATCAATAAAATATATATATATAAACAAATGAGAAAATAAAAGTGATTACAGTAGCACCTGGCATGTGATACTTAATACAACTTCTGAAGGAATAACTATTAACAATGGTTACTTCTGGTGGGTAGAATTTAAGGAAGGGGGAAGGTTTTTACTTTTCATTTTGTGTTTTTCTGAATTACTTAAATTTTTGTAATATTACTTCTATAATTGAAAGAACAAAGATATATGCACTTAAACATCCACTATCCCAATATACTATGCCTTTATTTATCATGTATGTGCGAGGAGAAAAAAAACAGGCCAGGGCAGACAGTGGCAGAAACCACGGCCTCCGTCAGCCGGCTCAGTGCCCTAGCCCTGCGGCATGCACCCTGCACCAGAATCCAGGTGAGGGATGCAAGAGACCCTCATGCGGGCCCCACCATGGGGCTAACAGCTGGGTCCGGGCGCTAAGAGGAAAAGCATCCACACATGACGTAGAGGAAACTACTGTAAATAAGCATGTGAGTGGGGAAGATTGGAATGCTGTCATAAAAAGAAGCTGAAGCCTGGGTAGTGTGGCTCAGTGGTTGAGCATCAACCCATGCACCAAGAGCTCACTGGCTGAATTCCTGGTCAGGGCACATGCCCAAGTTTCAGGCTTGATCCTCAGCAGGGGGAGTGGAGTGCAGGAGGCAGCCAATCAAAGATTTCTCTCTCTCTCTCTCTCTCTCTCTGCCACTCTCTCTTAAAAAAAAAAAATAGCCCTAGCCAGTTTGGCTCAGTGGATAGAGCATCGACCTGTGGACTAAAGGGTCCTAGGTTCGATTCTGGTCGAGGGCACATGTGCAAGTTGCGGGCTCGATCCCCAGTGTGGGGTGTGCAGGAGACCTGATCAATGACTCTCTCTTATCATTGATGTTTCTCTCTCTCCCTCTCCCTTCCTCTCAGAAACCAATAAATGAATTCTGGGGACACATACAACTGGTCCATAAAAGTGAGGAAGGACCAGAACTGGAACTCACAGTCCACACTGCTTCTGTGATGCAAGCCAGAGGGCTATGTAGAGGCCAGTTACCACAACTGGGTGACCTTGGCTAAGTCATTTCTCTCTGGGCCTCAGTTTACCA